CATAATCCTAGCACTTGGGGAGGTTGAGGTGGGAGGATCACTTGAGGCCAGGAGTTCAAGACCAAACTGAGCAAGACCCCTCTCTACAAAAAATACAAAAATTAGCCGGGCGTGGTGTCACGCACTTGTAGTCCCAGCTACTTAGGAGGCTGAGGCAGGAGGCTTGCTCGAGCCCAGGAGTATGAGGTTACGGTGAGCTATGATGATGCCACTGCACTGTAGCCAGGATAACAGAGGGAAACTCTGTTGAAAGAAAGAAAGAGAGAGAGAGAGGGAGGGAGGGAGGTAAAAAGTGGGGGGAGGAAGGAAGGGAAAGAAAGGGAGAAAGAAAAGGAAAGAAAATGCAATGCTTTACTTATTAAAAAGTCATTGCAGACAGTCTCGTCCGGGCAGGACCAGTGCCACAGAAAGCAGGGATACCTTAGAAGCAGTCTCCAACTTTCAGTAGGTTTTAGCTCCAGAAGTTCATTTGAAGATTATTGTATAATAAAATACATTTTTAAAAAAATGGATGAAGAACCTGAAAGAACTAAACGATGGGAAGGAGGCTATGAAAGAACATGGGAGATCCTTAAAGAAGATGAGTCTGGATCACCTAAAGCTACAATAGAAGATATTCTGTTCAAAGCAAAGAGGAAAAGAGTATTTGAGCACCGTGGACAAGTTCGACTTGGAATGATGTGCCACCTTTATGTGGTAGTAGATGGATTAAGAACAATGGAAGACCAAGATTTGAAGCCCAATAGACTGACATGTACTTTAAAGTTGCTGGAATACTTCGTAGAGGAATATTTTGATCAAAATCCTATTAGTCAGATTGGAATAATTGTAATTAAGAGTAAAAGAGCTGAAAAACTTACTGAACTCTCAGGAAACCCAAGGAAACACATAGCATCCCTGAAGAAAGCTGTAGATATGACCTGCCATGGAGAACCATCTCTTTATAATTCCTTAAGCATAGCTGTGCAAACTCTAAAACACATGCCTAGACATACAAGTAGAGAAGTCCTAATCATCTTCAGCAGCCTTACAACTTGTGATCCATCTAATATTTATGATCTAATCAAGACCCTAAAGGCAGCTAAAATTAGAGTGTCTGTTATTGGATTGTCTGCAGAGGTTCGAGTTTGCACTGTACTTGCTCGTGAAACTGGTGGCACATACCATGTTATTTTAGATGAAAGCCATTACAAAGAATTACTAACACATCGTGTTAGTCCTCCACCTGCCAGCTCAAGTTCTGAATGCTCACTTATTCGTATGGGATTTCCTCAGCACATCATTGCTTCTTTGTCTGATTAAGATGCAAAACCCTCTTTCAGCATAGTGCATTTGGATAGCAATACTGAGCCAGGGCTTACATTAGGAGGTTATTTCTGTCCACAGTGTCGGGCAAAGTACTGTGAGCTACCTGTTGAATGTAAAATCTGTGGTCTTACTTTGGTGTCAGCTCTGCGTTTGGCACAATCTTACCATCATTTATTTCCTTTGGATGCTTTTCAAGAAATTTCCCTAGAAGAATATAGTGGAGAAAGATTTTGTTATGGATGTCAGGGGGAATTGAAAGACCAACACGTCTATATTTGCACTGTGTGCCAAAATGTTTTCTGTGTGGACTGTGATGTTTTTGTTCATGATTCTCTACACTGTTGTCCTGGCTGTATTCATAAGATTCCAAGTCATTCAGGTATTTGATTGCAGCATGTAGTAGACATTGTATGAGTTAAAAAGAAAGTTGCAACTGTAAATAAAATGATTCTTTAGAAGAAGCTTCTTTTAAAACATGAGTAACAATTTAAGAAACTTTTTGCTAAGAAAATACAGTATTTTATTAAGTGTTTTATTTGTATC